CGGGGAGATGGGGTCGGGTAGGCAGCGAGAATAGGAAGAAGAAACGATGAAGAAGAAGAGGAAGAAGAAGGGGGAGATGATGACGACGGGAAGGGGGGAAGAGGACTCTCAGACGATGATGGTGAAGGAGAAGGGGAAGAAGAAGAAGAAACGAGGAAGAAGAGAAAGAAAATAGTGCGATTGACTCCGAAATGGCCGGCGAGTCGCGAGTCATGGTACTCGCCGAGAAGGCGAGTCCGAAGACCACGGTCTTGTGGGACACATAGTAAGTCCTTGCCTCTCGAGTGGAGGAGCAAGTACCCGTCGACGATGCGATAGTGGCTGGCCGGCGGGTGATCAGAAGATAGCTGCGCATTTAACGTGGCGAAATCCGGATCGGACTCATAGCCCCGGATGAAGTGTCGCTGGAGTTCCTCGTCGAATGCGAAGGCATGATGTGTCATAGCGCAAAGATCAGGTCTTCGCGAGAGTGCATCTGTTGTGCGATTGGAGAGGCCGACCAGATGTTTCGGTGTGAAGTCAAATTGGTCGATGAAGTACATCCATCGTTCGGTCGTGCTGCTCACCGTATCCTGCGTCTTGTAGTAGGTCAACGGGTTGTTGTCCGTGACCCATGTGAACCTACGACGCCCAAGGAGGAAGTGTCGCCATCGCTTGAGAGCCATCACGAACGTGAGCAGCCTCCTTCTTCCTTGCATCATCAAGTGAATTGATGGGAGGCACTTTGTGGCTGAAATACTCCACGGGGTGCCAGTCATTGCCGTCGTGTTGTTCCAAGACTGCCCCAATGCCATAGCTGGGAGCGTCAGTTGTCACTCTCGTTGGCAGGGTGGGGTCGTAGATGCTAAGGACGGGTGCCATGAGCATGGCCGTCTTGAGTGCTTGGAATGACCGGCGTGCGCCGTCATCGAATACGAATGGCACCTTTGGCGATTGTAATCTCGTCATAGGTGCGACAATCCTTGAGTACCCAGTGATGAAGCGTTGATAGTAGCCCGCCAACCCCATGAATGAGCGAACGTCGGTGGTGTTGGTGGGCTCGGGCCATATGCAAATGGCCTCGATCTTGTCCGCAAGCAGACGGATGCCTTGCGGTGTCACATAATGTCCCAAGTACTCCAGCTCTTGCCCCGCGAATTTGCATTTGTCGCGGTTGGCTTTGTACTTGGCTTGTCGTAGCCGCTCCAAAACGGTGCGCAGGTGCTCCACATGCTTGTCCAAACTCCGGCTGTACACCAAGATGTCATCGAGGTAGATGAGTACGAATCTATCCAGCATGTGTCGGAACTCTGTATTCATAGCCGCTTGGAATGTGGCCGGGGCATTTGTAAGGCCAAAAGGCATAACCGGCCATTTGAAATGCCCATATCGTGTCTTAAACGCGGTCTTGTAGCGGTCCTCCTGCCGGATCTCGAGTTGGTGATATCCCGATTTGAGGTCAAGCTTGGAGAAGAACTTGGCGCCGCCCAGTCATTCGAGGAGGTCGTCGAATGCGCGGAAGAGGGCTGGCGTTCTTGACGGTTTGCGCGTTGAGCTTGCGATAATGGATGCCAAACCGCAAGTCCTTGTTTTTCTTCCGGATGAAGAGAACGGGAGCACCCTATGGCGAAGAGCTAGGCCGAATCCAGCTTTTCTGGAGAAGGTCGTCGAGTTGTGCCCGTAGCACACTTAACTCTTCCTCGCTCATGCGGTAGATGCAACCACGCGGAGGTACGCCCCCGACCTCGAGGATGATCACGTGGCGGATGGGCCGAT